GTCACCTCACCGGTGACAGAGAGTTACGTGACTCGCAGAATAAGGGGGACTGATAGCTCGACTTTGTTTACCTTTGCTACTTTCGACGTAATGAAAATTTGCTCTTGTTGTGTTTGGCAAACAGGTGCCTAAGATCTTTCGGATGGTGGACATATAAGTTCAGATTTCAGTCACTAGGTGGCGTAAGTGTATATATGAGATTTTTTATGTGTTATTTATATCTCATGAACCTGACATTCATGGAAAATACAGTCCTCAACAATTTTTTTTTCCCGGTGGACAAGGCCTTCTACATGAAGAAAAGGTTAGTGGCAAATGCTCTTGTTACGTGGCTCTATTGCATATGTGCTTTATCATAAGATCCTGACTTACTTGAAAAATACAGTCTTCTACATAGTTGCTAAGCTAACCAAGTCCTTTCAAATGATGGACAATAAGTGTGTATGATACATGCACAAGATCTGTGTGTCTGTGTCTGTGTGTACGCTAGCGTACGTAAGAGCTTGTGCATGTATCATATCTCAAGATTATGGCATTCTGTGAAATAACTGTTAACTGCAAAGTTGTCCAAAAAAATATATGAAAACTTTCCCGAAGACACCCATTCACGGATTTTTCATACATTGTAGCAAGCGTGATTGACCATTTTATGGATAATCCGAATCATCTGGACAACTTGTTTGTGGCCTCCAGTGTGCATAATTTGGCCTCAATGCCAAATTCAGTCAGATAACACATCAACAAGTGCTTGCGCAAAAAAAAAAACATGGGGCTCTAGGACCAGTTTAATTTATTTACCTCTTTTACGGATGTTCCGGATCTTCCACACGAAACGAAAATCAATTATTTTATTCATGTGTTTAACTTATACATTTTTGCCAAAAGATCAGCCTTATACATTCCATAAGGCAAACCAAATAGGTCCTACAAGAGTGCATAAAAGGTATGTGTGACCGCTTATACATTTCATTTGACACATGAGCTTCATTAACTTTTTGCAAGGCGTCTGCTTATTAGTTGACTTATACATTTTATGAATAATCAGCAATAGAAATTTGCCAAAAGGTATAAGGAAATTTCTATCCGTGCAGAGGACCAGTCTGGGATCATCAATATTCTGGCCACAATATGAAATTAATTCGAAAAACACATCAACAAGCGTGTTCGCAAAAAAAATTGAGCTCTAGAAACAGTCTAATGAATTGAACAGTTTTACGCATGTTCCGGATCTTTTAATGGGCCAGCATTAGCCCTCCAGGGTTCATATTTGAACCAAAACCCCAAATTTTTTTTAAACTCGCCAATAAGTGCTTCCGCTAAAAACTGCACAACTCTAACTCCAATTTCATGAATTTACCACTTTTACGGATGTTACGGTGTCCCGCTGGAAGACACATTGTACCAAAAGGAGGACAGTTAACAATTTCCCCGGAGATACCAGGAAGTTATCTATTCATATAACTTTAATATCAGAGTTTTATTGACTGTATATACATTTAGTTTCATTCATTTTAAACCGACCGTGATCCGTGTTCTTAATACATCAAAACTAACTAACTTATCTGCGTTCCATTTCTTCGATTATTTCTTCCCTTATTCGCTCGTAAGGTACTGCCAGAGTTGGTGCGGTAGAAAGATGACGTTTGCGATTCCTTATGTATCATCCACTGCTTTGTATGGATCTGTACGGCAATGTTGTGCGGTAGACACGAAGAGAAGATATGTGCAGTTCAAAGTTGTATACAATCATTGAACGCGTTATTCGGTGAACTGTTGAGATCGTTTTTCTTTTTGTGCAACCATCGTTCTTCGTTTCGTTCATTCATTTGGTGCTACAAAACTGAATACTCTTATTCGGCAAAGGTGTCTGACACTTCACTCATTTGTGAATATCTATTCATGACCAGTTACGAACCTGACACACGGTAGTTCAATGGCATGTTGACAGATTTCCAAACACTGCACTGAGAAAGATGGAAGGAACGCGTTGAATTTCTTCGATATTGATTTTTCATTTGTTGATTAACCCTGGGGAGTATACCTATTAATTGTATATAAACTGTGTTACTAATTATTCTACTTTTATTTCAGGTGAACCAAACCAACTGGATATGTGTAAAACTATGTGTACGCTGGCATCATCGTCTCACCTAAAACAACCTATGCTGCTATAGATCAGTGCACGGTCCCTAACCTCACTTTTTGCTCCCTATCATTTTGCTTCTGAGTAAAAGAGATAGCAACGAATGGGAGTCAAAACAAACCACCCAAAACTGTCAAAACTTACGGGTGAGAGAAGAGTGCGGCAAATCTTCGTGAACTGATCAATGGAAAAGCTATTTTTTTCGCTAAGGAGTCGATATGTTCTATACCGATATGTTCTATGTACTCTATACCGATGACAATACATGCCGAAATGTGCTACCAGTTCTTCTGTGAATGGATATATGTTCCCTCTCAATGATCATACGACATTGAATGAAAAGTGAAAGTGATGTATACTAATCTAGTCGAAGCAGAGTTTTCATTATATATCGTAGGTTTTATTTACAAAAACCGTATGTTAACTAACTTTAATTTGCTGTTTTAGTGGAACCAGCATCCATTTTTTCCCTTGTGTTTCATTTACTAGAACTTTTTTAGAAAAGTGGCATGGAAAATCCCTAGCGATTTCCCGGAATTATCAGCTAATGCATAGCTATCCCCAAGGACTTTCGTTACTACAGCTTCCGTGTACTTGGGAGCTAATTTTGCACAGAAATCTTTCCCCTTATCAGACAGAAACGTACTTTTCTTGAGAACTTTCTCACCTACTTCGTATTTCGGTGCTTTTGAATTAGATCTTAAGTTATAATATTTTGCTTGCTTTAGGTACGCTTCCTTCAAGTTTTGGCGGACTTGAGCGTACAAAATTTCTCTTTCTTTTGCTGAAATGGTGTGCTGATCCCCACCAGTTTCTTTAAGTGAGGCATATTCTCGTCCGTCGGAGATCATATTTCTTCCGAATGTTAAGAAATACGGAGTATGTTTTGTGGACTCATGCGTTGAGTTTCTTATCGCATTTGCTATGCTCTGTATGTTGTCTGCCCACGTTTTGTGACTTGATTTGATAGTGGCCCTAATTGCGGCTGTAATAACCCTGTTAACTCTTTCCGAGTTGTTAACTTGTGGGTGGTAGGATGGTGTGAGCCAATGGGTAATTCCATGGTGTGTTAAGAGTTCTTTAAACATTTTTGATGTGAATTGGCTACCGTTGTCCGTCAATATTATTTCTGGTACGCCAAATAAAAGAAAAATTGATTGTTCAAGAAATTTAACAAGTGAACAGGCTGTTGCCTGTGTAAAAGCTTGAACCAGAACAAATTTTGTGAATCCATCGGTAACCACAAGGAGACATGTACTTCGAGTTTTACCTGACGGTGGAAACGGACCCAGGTAATCCAACGTTAGGAACTGCCATGGTTGGTCACAATGCTGTTTCTGGGTGCCCATAGGTGGGGTGCTATTTATGTTTGTACTTTTGGAAGTTTTACAGGGCAAACAAGTTTTGCAAAACTGTCTTGTTTCTAGGGCCATTCTAGGCCAATAATGTTTTTCTTTTAGCTTGGCAATTGTTTTTTCGTAGCCTAAGTGAGCTGGATCATGCACACCTTTTATAATCTCTCTCCTTTCTTGTTCTGGAGGATAGTATTTCCAAAGGAATCTTTTATCCTCAATTGTTGCTGTGTTGTGGACAAATTTGAAAATTTTGCCACCAACCAGTTTAAATTCTTTAAATTGATCAGGGTTGCTACTTATTTTCGTACGCAAATCGGCATACTTACTATCATCTATTTGAATAGTTTCAATCCTTGATAAGCAATCAGCAAGTACATTGTCCTTACCCTTCCTATACTGTATTGAGAAGTCAAAGTATTGCAGTTTTAAGGCCCAACGAAGTAGTCTTGAATTTCCGTTAGCCGCAGTAATTGTGAACAGCCAAGTGATGCTTTTGGCATCGGTTATGACTGTGAAAGTTGTCCCCTCGATATAGTGTCGAAAATTTTCAACAGCAAGTAGAACTGCAAGACACTCTTTCTCAGTCGCTGCATATTTACGTTGCGTGCTTGAGAGTTTTTTTTTACTAAAGTAAGCAATTATCCTTTTCCCTTCGGGGTGGACTTGTAGGAGAGCTGCTCCGACAGCCAGTTGGGATGCATCGGTCTCTATTATGAATGGGAGATCGTAACGAGGGTTTGCAAGTACAGGTGAGGAAGTTAGTACCGATTTTAATTCAGCTAGCGCACGTTCTGCTTCATCGGTCCATTTGAGTTTTTTTGCTTTTTTTAAAAGATCTGTAATTGGTGCTGTTATGTGGCTATAACATTCGATAAATTTTTGGTAGAATCCCATCAATCCCATAAGTCGTCGGACATCCCTGATTGACTTAGGGCGGGGGTAATTAAGTATTGGTTCTAGCTTTGTACTGTCGATTGCCAGGCCATTCTCAGTTAATAGGTACCCCAGATATTTGACTTGCCTTCTACAAAAGCGGCTTTTTTGAACAGAAATTGTCAAACCAGCTTTCTCTAAGCGTTTTGCTACTTCTTTCAAGAGACGGAAATGTTCTTCTAAGGACTCTGAAGCTATCACTATGTCATCTAAGTAGATGAATACGAAGGGTTCAAGATCGAAGCCCATGGCTTTATTCATTAGCCTACCCATCGTAAACGGGGTGTTTCTCAGACCAAATGGGACAACTTTAAATCGAAAAAGTCCTTTTGGGGTTCGGAAGGCTGTAAAGTTTCTTGAATTTTGTTTTAATGGAATTTGAAAGTAGGCATCCTTTAAATCAATGATGCTAAAATATTTTGCTTTTTGTAGCCTATGAAAAATTTCATTCATGTTGCGCATCGGGTAAGCGTCTTTTTTGGTAATTGAATTAATTTTTCCCGAATCCAAGCAGACTCGAATATTCCCATTCGACTTTTTGACCGGTACTAATGGGCTAGCAAACTCACTAGTGCACTCTTCGATCACATCTAGCTTTTCGTATCGTTCAAGTTCCTTTTCTATGCTCTCCCATACACTGGGCGAATATCTGTACATAGGCAAGTCCCGCATTTTTGCGCCTTCTATCGTCTCAATTTCATGTTCTATTAGGGTAATTCTACCAAGTTTGTTTTCACTAGTCCATTGGAAACAGTTTAATGTTTCTGTGAGCTGTTGTCGCTCGTGGACTGTTAAGTCATTTTCTGTTAGTTCTAATGAACATATCGTTAGACGGATTTCTGATTCTAAGTCGGTAGGGTTCAATTGTCGATTATGATCTGCGGAGATTAAATTGATCATGGGTTGTCCGTTGATATCTAAAAGATCAACAGCAGTTACCTGATCGTCACTTTTGATCATTGGTTTTATCTCGAAGGCATTCCAGAAATCCATCCCTAATATTAATGATTTCGAAAGTTGGGGGACAACAATGGTCGGAATTACCTTGGTAACGCCTGCAAATGTGTAAGGTACGTTTGCGTACCCAAGGCATTCATGTTCTGTATCATCCGCTGTGCTGACTAACACGTTTGCCTGAAATAATTTTAGCTCATGTTTTTGGAGAATTTTTGTCGAATTCAGCACGCTAATACTTGCGCCTGAGTCTAATAAAGCGATTATATCTGTGTCCAAAATAGCAACGCGTATTCTTGGACAAACGTTAGGGTTGACCTTTATATGCAAGGTTTCTTGATACTTTTTAAATTGCTCAGAGCTGTTGGTTTTAGGGACCACTTTTAACATTTGCGAGATGGACGGGTTCCCTTCAGTGCATCCCGCATCTAGTTTAACGGTTGCTGTTGAGAATTAGTGGAATTTTGTTTGTTAGCGTTAGGATAAGATTGGGGGTGATTGCGCTCACATGTTCTTGTGGTTCGACCAATGTTTCCACAAGCATAACAAAAAATAAGTTTTGGCTCCTTGCAGGATCTCCAGTGGTGTCCTGTCTTTTGACAATTCCAGCATTTCACTGTTGAAAAATCTGATGCTTGAGAAGTTTGTGTATTGGTTGAGGGGTTTGGTTTTTGGGAGTCCCGTACTGTTTTAGTCTTGCGTTGAAGTACATTAATAGCTACTTCATCCGGAGATGAATATTCATCGTCAGAGTTACTTTGAGCCTCCAAGTAATGCATTTCGTTTCTAACATTTTGACTTGACCGATATAAATTGGGATCATTGGCATCGATTCGATGATTGAGATCCAATAAATGTTCCAAATTATGAACTCGAGTTGTCGCTAATTTGGACCTGTAGTGGGGTCTCATGTTCTCCCATACTATTTCAAAAATTGGTCGGGATGAGTGAGGGTGTTTCAAGCACAGGTTAAGCTTTTCAACTTCTGTGACAAATGCCACGAAAGTTTCACCTCTCTTTTGCCTAAGTTCCCGTAACTGACTTCTTATGCCGCGGTCACGGTTAGGGTTACCAAACCTAAACCATATTTCGGTTTCAAAACTCTTCCATGTGGTGCAGTGGCTTTCTCTGGTAAACCACCAGTCACTGGCCTCCCCTTTGAGTTTATAGTGTATTCTGTCCAATAACTCATTTTTCCCTACCTTTTCATGTTTGGCCAATTTTTTTTATTCTACACGCAGAAAAAAATATTTTAAACGTAATAATATTTGACGTAAAATTAATAAGAATTTCCTTTTGTTTTGGCTGCAAAAAGAAATCATTATTATTTCAACAATCCAGTATCTTTGTTTCTAAAAACAAATGGATTGTTAAATCAAAAAGAAAATCTTTTCGAATTTACAAGAGCTTTCTTGGTTTTGACGTAAGCTGTCAAATTTGGCAGCTTGGTCAACAACAAAATATGTTCGTTTTTAAAAGAGATTTCTTGTTGATTCAATCATATTTATTTTATTAAGCCTGAAAATATACGCAGTAGAAATAAAAATATGTTTATTGATTCAATATTTAATAATTTGCGATTATTTTTATGTTTTGTTATCTTTTTGTAATAAACAGAATTACAATTGAATTTAAAAAACCTTTCTGATGCATAAATCTCTCCGGTTCATGAGTTGATGGGTCGATAGGTAGGGTCCAGGAGTGGGAGCGGCCTTCCTGGCGTTGGGAGCATTGGTACTCAGTACTGAAAACAAGATCGACGAAAAAAAATCAAGGAAAAAAAAACTGTTTATCTTTAGCAACTGCAGCATACTTACTTACCTCAAGTCTCAAGATTTTCGGAAATCTTGCACTTTTTTCCCGAAATTCACTATTAAAAACAATATCACGTCGAACGCGGAAAAGAGCTGAATCAAACGAGAACAGTTTTGTGTTATTGTGTACATTTTTGTCCGCGAACGAGGGAATGGTTGGTAGTTATTTTTGCATTCATGGCCTGGGGAACAGACACAACAAATAAATGCTAAATTAACTATTGTTGGCTTAATAAAAGAATATTGTTATTTTTACAATAAGTTGCAGTTGAAGAGTGGCTTATTAAAACAAAAAGAATATTATTTTGAATTTATTTGAATAAGTATTATCGAAAAATAAGATGCAATAAAATTTCAACCGGATTTGTTTGTATAAATACAAATAAAGTTTTTTTTGGTTCAATGCAAACAATTTTCTGTCCGTGTATTTAGAAAGTCTTCCACTTGCATTGATCTGCTGTCTCCGTTGAAACTAATGTCCCAATTTTCAACTCTTGAGCGTGCTGATCTATAATAATCTTCTCTATACCGTCTAATAGGTGTTTGTGACCTGCGAATATCCCTATTTCTGTTCCGCCCTGTTTGTTCCTCTTGCTCTGAGCTGCTCACGCTGCTCGAGGTGGATGAAAATTTCCCTCTTGATTTTATGGACTTCTTGTTTTTCCTCACTTTTTGTTCGTCTTCTGCAAAGTCATCCCTAGAGTCGGAAGAATCAGATGTGGAGTAGTTTGAATGTCTATTGCGATCGTGATTCTTTTTTTCTTCCTTGTCGTAAACATGTCGTCCGCGTTTGTTTTTGTGATCGTCTTTGCAACGACTGCTTTTTCTGGGTGTAAGTATTTTATCTTTCGTTTTTGAATCTGTATCACTACTTTCCTCCATACCCTGGGTTTTTGAGTGTTTGTCTGATTTAGCTCCCTTTTTCTCTGATTGTTGTTTTACTTTTGGTTTTGTTCCTGTACTATTAGACTCTCCTTTTTTTCCTTTAACTATAGCTTTCGGATCCGGATTTCGCCAAGATTCTTTTAATGCTTTAGCTCCTTCTCCTAAGTCTAAATCTGTCTCTTCGTTCGACTGCTCTGGATCGTATGTTACTCTTTGTCTGTAAGCCCTTAGAATCTCCTCTATCTGTTTTCAGCAATCGTCTTTCATCTCCTTTTCTTCATCATTAGTGGTTTCTGCTGAAGCCAATCTAATTAAATAATGTCTAAGCCGTGAGACAACAGCATAATCAAACCGTTCTCGCAACCTATGTCTTAATGTTCTTACTACTTGATCTACATCCTCAGCCTCTTTCACAATATTAAAGCCAGAATCATATTGTTTCGGTTCACGGCGTTCATATTTGTATGCATGTCTCAATGTTCTTTTCTTGTCCTCAATTTTCGCGTCTTGCTCTATTTCAACGCTACGTAATCGAAATTCAAAATCTAGTTCCTCCTCTTGCAAATGATCCGCATTCGGAAGTATCTAAAACCTAACCATTTTTTATTTTCAGTTCAAACTTCAAATTATTTCAATAAAAAGAAAAAAAAAACAATATAATAACCCTAGTCTAAATAAACAAAAAGAAAAAAAAATCAAGAATGACCGAAGAAACGAAGAAAAATTAAGCTAATACTAGAGAAATGTGAAATATAATGTTGTTATGGTAGAAATATGATGCTATAATTAAAAAGTGGTTGATTTCAAAGAAGAAAAAAAATAGAAAATAATAAATTCAATTATAAATTCAACTTAATTCTACAAAAATTAAATTAAAAAAAATATTATCAAACCCAGTATTGCTCTAACTTAACCGAGTTAAAATGTACATCCAATTAAAAATAAATTTTAAAAATTTCGAAATGTTGTGTAATTTAAACTTAATGTTCAAGATTAATAATGTAATTCAATTTTGCGTTGGGCGCCAATGTAACCATCGTAGAACGTCCTCTGTAAGAACTGCTGCAAACGCAGTGGCTTATGCGCCACTCTCGATAACGAGAGACCACTGGTCGTGTTTAATAAGGTTGCCCGACTTAACTGCTAGGAGCATGAGCGAAATTCTCCAGGGATTCTCAACGGTTTTTTCAATGAAGCTAACACATCTAGATGGCCACAAATTTCCTAATAAAGGTAACCGAGGTGGACGTAAAATAAAGAAAAGTGAACGCAAAGTGAATGTGCTCGAAGTGAAGATGTTGCAAAGCGAACGGTAAGCAATAATTACCGTATGGACTGATTCACCACAGGGCTCTTGGTTCGGGAATGAATTACAAAAGGTAAGTTATGTTAAATTCATTTTCATGTATATTAATTCTTTTTTTCTTTCAGCATAGCGGTGTATGTGTAAGTGCGAGTGTTGATTTGTGTGTCATGGCCATGGGTGAACATTAAAGCCCTACAGTAAAAGTATGGACGTCTGTCATAAGTTGTTCCAATCGAACCGTCAAAATGCACCGCTTTGCTCGATTGGAACAGCTTTTTTCAGTTTTGTGGTGACAGTCGTCCATACTTTTACTGTAGGGCTTTAGTGAACATACCTGCGCAGGATTTATGTTGGCTGTCAGTTGGTGATCTTCAGCCGGGGGCACACGGATGGCGTGCGATGAGTTCACCGAGATGGTCGAATTCGTCTCCTGACCAAAACGAACTGGACGCTTCGAGTCGTTAGCGTCGCCGGGGGATACTTCTTCAAACAGCGGCCGAACTAAAGGTGCGGGGGAGGATGTCGGCAAGACCGGTACTCTACCCGATCATTCGTTTCCGAACGCAGGCAGGCCAGTCGATTCTTCTCGACCCCGTTTGACTACCAGCAATCTGGCGGGCCAAGCGAAGCTCCACACCGGTCCTTCGTCACGCGCACTCAATCAAAAGATGGCGGAAAAAGACGAGCCTTTAGGCCGTATATTAAAAGCGCCCGTTGGACGCTGATGTCCAACGCGAAAAGAATATTAGAATAATGTACACACAAAATAAATTGTAATATAATTTACCTTTTAATTTAGTACTGAAAATTCACGCGAGCAGTGTGTTCACCCTTCGTGATACACAAAGTCTGGAATCTATTATTAAATTAAAACACAAAAGATACAATAGAAATTAGTTCACTTCTAGCATATTTAACAAAGATCCTACTTTTAGCTTCACTTTCCAATTACACACCTCAAGATAAATTCAAAAAAAAAAGAAAGATAAATTATAATCACTGAGCTCACTACTGCTCACAAGCCGACTTGAAATTGAAATGATTTATATGATCATCAAAATCAACTATCAAGCTTCAAATTTAATAGTCATCGTTTTTTTTTCCTTGGACTTTACAACTACTTATTCAATTAAATTGCACGAATTACCACAGTATACCGTAATTCTAAAATATGTGGGCCATCTACGTTTAATCCTAACACTAATAATCTGTACACAATATACGCAAGAGCTTTTACCCTAAATTTAATAAGCTTTTTATAGCGAGAGAATCAGGCAGCTGGATCTACAGTTCATTAAATTTAATTACTGCTATAGAATTTTGGCATAGGGTATACGTCCCTAACCTCGGTCTAATATGCAGCCATAGATTACGTTTTTAATCATAACTCATCAATTAATTTACCTGCAAACGATATTCTACTGCTAAATGGTATGCTTAGATATGCTTATCATGTCGTTTGCTATCAGGAACCGCAAAAAGTTGAAAAACTTACTTTTTTTAAGACAAAAACTCACCAGGGAAATGTATGTAATATCGGTCTATTGTCCCCAAATTGGGTCTATTTATGGATGCAACTTCGTCCTATCCTGTTTGATTCTCAAAAAAAAACGCTCTTGGTAACGTTTTCTTATGTATTTTTTTTTATCACTATCACTGTTAACTTAATACTCTTCATTCCTCAAAACATTTCTTAGAGAAAATTTTACGAAAACTACATTAAATCACTCAAGTTAAAAATTAAAAATTAAAAATTTCGCTTATCGTCTTTCGACCGCAGAATATCTAAATCAAAACATTGTGATGTTCATTATACAGATTTGGCAGAAAAAATCTCCCTTCCTGTTCGTTCCTTATCATCCAAATGCAAACCACATTGTTGACGTTACTCTTATTGCTATATGCTGTCAAATGAATTTCATGGGCCAAAGTTAGGAACATAGAAAAGAAATGTGTCCCTAAAGTTGGGTCCATGATTTACTTGTGAAAACGTTGTTAAACAATTAAAATAAACATAAAATATTCAAACAGTAACTGTGAGTTTTACGTCTAGTGTGTATTATCAGGTAATTCCATTCAATAAATGCCATAATCAGGCCATTTGATGATCGTCAGTGCAACCTTCCCATCTTAACCTTAGAAGTCATGGCGGCTAAAAACTCCGAACAGAGTGATATTCTCAACCAGTTTTATTACTTACGAGAGCTGAAAATGTATTGAAATGTTGTGATATAAATTGATTTGTGTGTGGTACACATTTATCAATCATCAGTGATCAATATTTTCCTTATTTTTTGTGTAATATTCCTTAATTAATTATTTATTTGCGTGATAGGCCGAATGAAAGGACTAGACCCACATTACATACCGTAACCCTATATATAAAAATGTAAATATTTATGAAAAATTATAATCATTTTTTAATCTAATGTAGAAGTAAACTTAAATAATCCATCAACATTTTTACAACAAGCCGGAGAACGTTACAATTTGTCGCGATTACGTTTGATGATCCCAAGAAATACCTTTTCAATACTACCCTCACCGTGTTCAACTGGATAGCTGCCAGTGTTATTTGCTGTATGAGAACAGCTGGAGTCTTCTTCAAAATCTTCTGGTTGTTGTGATTGTGCACAATACCCAAAGACTGATGCAGCATGTCCAGATGACTCGCTTGGTCCTCTTTCGGAATCCTGAATCAAGGCGGACTTTTCGTTCTTTGGGATCAGATTGGTCCAGAAGTTTTCGTAGCTTTTTAGGAGGCAAATGCAACACTGATTTTGCACTGCTCCCTGCGGCTTCTATCTTTACTATTGCTTGAACCGGGGCTGCTTTCTGAAATATAATCACAAAATAGTGCGTTAATCTCATTGTTTGGCAAGATTGATTTGACATTTTCAACCTTTGTTATTGATTTACCACAGTAACCGCTTGCGCTTTGTACACAAGTTCGTTTTTTCTTTTCGATGAGTCCCGTTGACTCAGGCGGTGGCTTGTTCTGCTGAAAATACTGGAAAAATTATGTTTGTGACGATGACAAATGCTAATCGTATACAGGCCAAACCTTCTTCAGACGGACCTCCTCCTCTGCGACTGGATAACCGCCAATGTTATTTGCTGCGAGGGTATATGACTGAAATATTTTTCAGGTTCAAAATATGCATCCGGCCTTGCTTCCAACTGTCTGTCTTCCAAGGCACAGTTTCCAGAATATGAAACCGCTGGTGCCGATAACTCGTTATTTATAATTGTGAGATTAACCAGACCCTGAAATATATTAAATAAAAAATCTCATTTTGATTAATTAGGATAGCTTATTAATACTATTATAGAATACTTACGTTCCTTTTACACCAATCTTCTATCCAGGACCATAATTGATCGATTTCGAGCGTCGGATCAGGGCCAGCCCTGATGGCTGCACTCAACTCGCTCTCACTATACGTCAATAAATGAACGGTTTTGATTCCAGCACCTGCAATTAAATTTTATTTTGCAATAAGTAAATTGTTTATTTATTTTATTAAACATTACCTTTAAAAATATCCAAGCAAATTGCGGGTGCTTCTGCAAGAAAATCTGCGATCAGCCTTAATTCGTCCAACACAATGTTCGCCATACTTTTTTTTCATAAGATTAATTTTATGATTTTTTCGCATTGGTTACAGGAAAGAAAATCATAATGCGCCCCAATGAAAATTATATGTATTTCATAAAGATTTCTTCCTTTTCACTTATAAAAGTCATTCAAACCATATGAAACCCATAACTGTAATAGCTGTTTTTCCAGCTACAATAATGTCATCAATGAAGTTGATCATATTAGTGCAACCCGCTAAAATATGTTCTAACACCTTTTGAAACATCTCTGGTGCACAAGAGATTCCGAACACAAGCCGTTTATACCGAAAGAGTCCTTTAACACAGAGGAACCAAATTACAAATTTTACTTATCTGTTCTGTTTCAAAAGAATACACTAACCCTTATGCGTAATAAACGTAGTGAGCGGTTTGCTCTCATCATCGAGTTCAAGCTGATAGAAAGCGTCTTTTATATCCAATCGAGAAAAACACTTAGCTCCGTTTAACTTCCATCTAACGTCCTCAATCGTAGGCAAAGGATGAGTCTCCCGCAATATCGCTTTATTAATTTGCCGCATGTTGACGCGAATATCTCCGGTATCCTTCACTACCACGACCAACGGGGAAACCCATGAGCTCGGTTCAGAAACTTTCTCGATGTCTTTCGCTTGCAATTCTTTGAGTTTATCCTCCACTCGGTCGGGTGTTCCAAATGGTAAACACCTCAACCGCTGGGCAACAGGTTTTACAGATTTGTCAATAGGAATGTGAATCTTGATGTTACGCACACAAGGAAATGGTCTGCTCACGTTCACCTGGTGAATACTTTCTTGCTGGCTTAGCAATCCTACTATGAGCACACCCAATTCCTTCGACATGACTTTCCCCAACAAAGACTGTGGTCCTCCTTGTACAACATAGAACCTAGCTACTCAATTGCTTACTTTGATCTGAAATGAAAATTTCCGCATCAAACATAGCTGGTACTTCGAGACATTCTGTCTGTGCGTAAGCCTTGAATTTCTTATCCGGATGCTTAATTGATCCAATAGTGTTCACACCGTTCCGCAACATAGTGCTCTAAGTAAGTATGTATTCGCGGAATCACTAAAACTAGTGCAACTTTAATGCTGGCAGCAGAAGGACTACCAACGGAAACAGCCCTTTTACGCGAAATTTTCCTGGACGTTCACGAAGAACTCGGAATTCCACGCACCGACGCTTTGGCAGACCTGAATTCACACCGCGCGTTCCTACTTAGTGAACGCACACAACGACTGCAGCAAACTAGGGAGGCCGCTCGCAAATTTTACAGTCCTCCAAATTTTCAACGGCACTGACGCACTCTACTAAAGGAAATAACGACGACTATTCCCATGCAAGGGAATTATTATTATCGAATGACGACACTCTACATGAGGTAGACCCTACTAATGTAAGTAATACTGACCCTCCAAAAATCTCTTCACTTCCTCAACAGAATGCGACTGAAATTTTGGTGTATTGCCAAAATTTCAATCGCATGAAAAGCCCAGCTAAAATGAAAGAAATCCACCAGAACATTCTATCTTCTTCTTTTCAAATAATTCTTGGAACTGAAACAAGCTGGGACGAAAGCGTCAGAAGCGAAGAAATTTTTGGAAACAATTTTAATGTATTCCGGCACGACAGGAATTTTCAACTCTGTAATAAAAAGTCTGGTGGTGGAGTGCTCATTGCCATCAATGCTGACTTTACTTCTGAAGAAATCATAACAAAAAAGCACAAGGAATTCGAAAATGTCTGGGTCAAAGCACTTATTGCCGGTGAAATACACATTTTTTCTTCTGTGTATTTTCCACCTAAACATGCCCACAAGCAGTCTTTTGAACTATTTTTTCAAATTGTTGAAACAATAATGTCAAATATGGAACCAGAAGTAAAACTGCATATTTATGGCGACTTCAATCTACGAAACGCAGACTTTATTACAGACATTGAAAATGAATCATTTTTACTCCCGGTCGTAGGTGAAGACGAAGCACTACAATTATTATTCGACAAAATATCTTATTTTGGTCTTAATGAAATAAACCATGTAAAAAATCAACAAAACTCATATTTAGACCTTTTATTTACAAATTGTACTGAAGACTTCTGTGTGGATACATCATTAGCACCTTTATGGAAAAATGAAGTGTTTCACACAGCAATTGAATACTCAATCTTCGTACAAAATTCTTCTTCCTCCAGCGACTGGGAATACGAGGAAGTGCCGGAATACCGTAAAGCAAATTACGAAGAAGCCAAACGTAGACTATGTACAATAAATTGGCAAAATTTAATAAGTATTGAAGGAAATGTCGATACTGAAGTAGAAAAATTTCACTTAATTCTACAAAACCTAATCTTAGAAACTGCACCATCAAAAAAAAAGAAGACGAACACAAAACAATAAACTACCCGCATGGTTCAATCCACAACTGAAAAATTTGAAGAATAAAAAACAGAAAGCTCATAAACTATACAAAAAAGAAAAAACTGAAACCAATTTGCGAAACTATCACAACTTATGCAACCAATTACATACAGCCACCAACTCTGCATATGAGGACTATAACCGCAAAGTCGAAAATGAAGTCAAATCATGTCCTAAGAACTTTTTTAATTATGTAAACACGAAATTAAAAAGCAGCAATTTTCCTTCGCGAATGAATTTGGATGCAAATGTAGGTGAGAATTCTTCTGAAATTTGCAGTCTCTTTGCAAATTTCTTCCAAGAAGTATACACCACATTTTCCGAAGAAGATCGTGACCGCGATTTCTTTGCATTCATTCCTGAAATTTCTAAAAACATCTCTGTCAACCAACTTTCTCAACATGAAGTCCTCAATGCACTAAAAAACTTAAACGCGTCGAAAGGGTCTGGACCTGACGGCATCGCACCCATATTTTTGAAAAACCTTTCTGAAGAACTCGCATTTCCTCTAGAGCGTCTTTTCAACATGTCTCTGAAAAATGGAAAATTCCCTGAAATTTGGAAATCATCTTATTTGGTACCTATTTTCAAATCAGGTGCAAAATCAGACATTCGAAATTATCGTGGAATTGCTATTATTTCTTGCATTCCAAAACTTTTTGAATCAATCGTAAACGGCAATATTTTTCAGCAGGTGAAAAATCTAATTACAAGTAAACAGCACGGCTTTTTTAAAGGTCGTTCAACTACCTCTAATCTTCTAGAATATGTATCTTTCATTATTAAAGCGTTGGACAGTGGCAAGCACGTTGAAGCGCTATACACCGACTTCAGTAAAGCATTTGACCGCATCGACATACCATTATTAATCCTCAAATTGCAGAAAATAGGAATGGAGCCTGGACTTTTGAATTGGCTTCAATCATACCTAACACATCGTAAACAAATAGTTCGCTTTCAAAATAAACTTTCAGAACCAATTTCAGTCACGTCTGGGGTACCCCAGGGTTCTCATTTAGGCCCACTTCTTTTTATTTTGTACATAAACGACATTTCCTACATACTTAAAAAAAATAAAATTGCTTGTATATGCAGACGACATGAAGCTCTTTATGGAAATAAGTAATTCTAGCGATGCAGAAGAATTCCAGAATGAAATCAATATATTCCACACCTGGTGTAGTAAAAGTCTACTTAAACTGAACGTAAAAAAATGTACTGCAATAGCATTTAGCAGAAAAATTGAAACACCGCATATTCAAATATCATTAGGCAACCAAATAGTAGAAAAAAGCAAAATTGTAAGAGATCTAGGTGTAATCCTAGACTCCAAACTAACTTTTATAGAACATTATAATACTATCATTAGTAAAGCAAACAGAATGCTAGGCTTCATCAAAAGGTTCAGTCATAATTTCGAAGACCCATACACTATTAAGCTATTATATATCACATATGTAAGGCCAATTCTGGAATACTGCCACCTAGTATGGAATCCATACATTTCCATACACGAAGAACGCATAGAATCTGTCCAAAAACAATTCCTTTTATATGCTTTACGTAAATTGAATTGGACTGCATTTCCATTACCATCTTATGAAGCGCGCTGCATGCTCATCAATATACAAACACTTAAGGAGCGCCGCCAATTTGCAATGCTTTTCTTCATCAACGACATTATTTCAATGCGCATAGATTCGGCAGAAATTCTCGCACAATTAAATTTTTACACACCTTGTCGATATCTTAGAACACGGAATTTATTTTCAGAAACATCGTACAGAACAAACTATGCAAAAAATAGCCCAATCAATCGAATGATGCGCCTATATAATTTGCATTGCGGAACTATTGACATCACTCAGGGTTATTCTGCGTGGCGTATGAGGTGAGACGACAATTGTCACCTCGCAGTCACATGACTCTTCTCACTCTATTCCGACAGTCGACTCGGGTGAGGTGAGAGGTTCATTCTTAGGTGAGTTGCAAAGTGACTCGGTGTTCATTCGCCCAAATGTCAGTTTGCTTTGTTTTCCGAAGAAGGCCCATGCAGTTTTTGTAGGTTCATTAGTCAGTTTAATCGCACCTAGGGTTTATTTTGCGTTCGAGTCGTATTTCATGTCAAACAAGATAGATTAAATCTAGATAGAGCTGGAATTAGGGCGAAACAGCTTTTGTAAACATTGACTTCTCTCGATGATTTCTCGAAAGTCATTGCTCGCCCTTGCAAATCGACATCCACAGCGATTAGGGGAAGACTTCCTCTACTCGATGGATATGTTGCTTTATGTAGGCGTGCCTTGAATTCGTAGAAATCATCGAGAGAAGTCATTGTTTACAAAGGCTGTTACGCCCTAATTCCAGCTCTATCTAGAAATATTTTATTATTTTCTTAAACATAATCCGCGTTCACATGTTCGAAATCATGCATAAAAACATCATTTAAATGGATTGAAAATGTTCGGCCTGTGCTAGACCCTTTCAGTTTTGGCTGTTTGTTGTTTTCGGTTGCGGACGAAGATTTTTTTTTTTCCAATCGTTATTTTTTTTAAATTAGGGTCCAGGTTCCAGTGTATTCCTCCATTTACGAACCACACCGGCGGTTCGTAAATCGAAATAGACGTAAAAAACATTATTTGCGATTTATTTCCTAAAAAGTTTTTGGAAAATTTTGTCGAATACCGCACAAAATGGGTATTTTTTGGTATCTGGGTGACGTACGGGGACCGGAAATCAACGCCTGACGTTATTTTTATTTCAATATGGCGGCTTCCGGTTAGAGAAAAGCTGGGAAGTACTGCAAAATAACCAACAACATGGGTATTTTTGGAATCTTGGTTACGTGTAGGGACTGGAAATCGATGTCTGAAGCCTTTTTGAAATTCAATATGGCTGCTTCCGGTGCGAGAAAAACTTGTACATTCTGTCAAATACTCCACAATATGGGTATTTTTGGAGTCAGAGTGACGTTTGAGGACCGGAAATCGATGTCTGACGGCATTTTGACATTCCATTCTGGTTAAAGAAAAACTTGGAAATTCGGTCAAGTACCCCTCAATATGGGTATTTTTGGAATCCGGGTGACGTGTAGGGACTGGAAATCGATGTCTGAAGCCTTTTTGAAATTCAATATGGCTGCTTCCGGTGCGAGAAAAACTTGTACATTCTGTCAAATACTCCACAATATGGGTATTTTTGGAGTCAGAGTGACGTTTGAGGACCGGAAATCGATGTCTGACGGCATTTTGACATTCCATTCTGGTTAAAGAAAAACTTGGAAATTCGGTCAAGTACCCCTCAATATGGGTATTTTTGGAATCCGGGTGACGTGTAGGGACTGGAAAACCATGTCTGACGTCCTTCTGAAACTCAATATGGCGGCTTCCGGTTAGTGAAAAACTGGGAAATACTGCCAAA